CTCATTTTTCACATCTCCTGCTTCCAAAATACCTGATGTCTCTACAAGCTTACTGAATATTAGCTAATGTAAATATCTAATTTTATCATCAATTTCATCATAGTTTCTTACGTGATTTGCGATTACCAAATGTAAGTTTTCATATTTTTTTTTAACTTTACTTCAGTACGCCCTGTATTTACAATAGCTAGTAATAAACGTCGACAGGCTAAATCTTTTCAGTCCATCAAACAAAAACCGCATAATAGGATGGCTACGATTAAATAATGAATTTAGTACCTTATGAAAGCTTTCATAATGATTCCACACTTCGATTGGAATCTGTGGTCTTCTAGAACTTTTTTGGTTCCAAACTTAAATAACTACATTCAAACATCAATTTCTATAGATACACATCAAAAGTATGCAGAAGGGGGGGGGAGAATGTCATACAGGGGGCAGTGGTACAAAATTTTACTATAGTTTTCATTCTTATATATACCGCCCCTGATAAGATTAATATGAGCAGTTGCCCAATATTTTTCAAATGATCAAATATTTTTTCTTTAAGAAATTCAAGTAGGTGTACGATCTTCAAATTGATTAATTATTGATTGATTAATGTAAAGGATATTTCTACATATTTTATTTATCAGTGTGCTTATTTCCATGTGAGTATTTTTCTGTGTGGGCCTTTTTCCTGTGAACATTATTACTGAGGGCTTTCTTTTCCCTAGAACCGAGTCCATCCCCATGGTATACAGTCTTCACAGACATCAATGGATATTTGGAATTAGTTACAGATGCAGCCAGTTAAAGAATTGAGAACTTGTGGGATTCTCTATCTCAGTTTTGAATTCCTTTATGATTCGATCAAAATTCTGTCTTTGAACATATATTCCAGTGTCCTATGCTTATGTGATTAAGTCCAGGGAATATGTATGCTATATCATGTGCTCGGTATCTTTCTTTGCTGTGTTCGACACTTCAGTTGTTCTATTTGGACAGCCATTGTGATCTATAAACACAAAGTATGGTCCATCTGCAACATGGAAAAGATGGATATACCCAGGAGAATTTCGATGCAGTACCCCTATGATAAAAAATGTAAAAAGTTCTGACATTGCACCTCTCACTTAATGGCTCCTTGGCTATTGCCATGAGTTTTCTAGATAAACAATGGTAAGTTTTTCTCTCCTCACTACCTGGTATCCAGAATCACTGTTGATGGCGAAGTGAAATTTACCATAAAAACATAAGTCTGCACCACTATTCCCAACTGCAACGAATATACTTCTACACCAATGTAATGATGATATGCTCATAGCACAATGCATACAACAGGTTTCCATGCACATTAGCCAGTTTAATTGCTGAGAAATGGTTCTCGCATATATGTAAGTATTGGTAGCTATCTGGCCAAGAATAATATGTCTGTGCCATGATAGCAACATATCAATACTTTTGAAGTTTGGGTTCTTCTATGGTCTACAGCAGCGGTTCTCAACCTTTTGACTAACATGAACCATCTACACAAAAATTGAAAAACTTTAGTACGACCATTACATTTTACAATAATTATTTTTCAGTTTCTTAATAGAAATATTTAAAAAATACCGTACAAAGTCCATAATCCGGACTCGTTGGGACTTCAGCGATTCCGGAATAGTTTTTTTTTTTTTTTTTTTTTTTTTTTTTTTTTTTTTATTATTATTATTAGTATTATTTTATATAGATCATCATTTTAAATCTGGTAAGATGGCATGCAGAAATTATACAATTAAAAATATGAAACCGTAATTTATGAAATAAAGAGCAGTAAAGGGTATCAAATTTTACAAGCTTAATATTTATTTTTTTACTTTATTAAACATTTCTTTCAACGCACCCGTGCATAATGTATGTCCGTTCTCTATGGGCATGCATAAAGTTTGTGTCTTTGAAGTCTGGATTATGGATTTTGTACTGTATATATATATTTTACCATTTGCATTACATGTTGGCTATTTGTTTTAAATATGCACACAAAAAATAGATTAAAAATTGGTTACCATTTTAATTATCAAAATTTAAGTTATAATATTTAATTCTGAAATTTGGGCTTGTTTAAGAGAGATCAGTTTAATAATTTTAATTTTGTTCTGTGTCCCCCCCCCCCCCCAATACAGCATGGAAGAAAATTCTTGTTCACACAAATAGGTTGTGCAAAAAAGGAATAAAAATTGTATAGCTATATTTTCAGAAATTATTTAGATGATTTTTCTCACATATTATTGATTGACCATGCAAGTACAGCTTAGAGATCTTGTTCTGCAGTGTCTCTACACTTACTTTTCCTGCTGCTGATAGAAATAAAGATTTGCACAAACCAGTTGTTCCTGGGTAAATTGTCAAGCAGTGTATTTATTGAATATTCAGTTATTTTCATATCAATGAACTGCCAGTAAAAAATATTAAACAGTACTTTATTTTTTATTCTATTGCTATATGTAATTGCATAGAAAGTCTGTTTAAGTTTAATCACTTCATATATATTCAACTTAATATTAATAGTGCCTAATATAACTTTTTATATGTATTATTGATCATTGATTTAGATTTTATTAATAAGGGCATTTCCAAGAAAGAGTATGACTGATTCATTGTTAAATTATTTGTATTTTGTAAATTAATAAAGGAATGTTTCTGTGAATTCATGTAATTTTTCTTTAAAATCTGATTTTGTTTCTGGATTAATGCTTTTTGATAACTCTTAAGAAATAATTTTGTAAACAAAAATAACATCCTGAAGAATTTTACAGATTTAATAAAACTGAAACACAGGATATAATTGAAATGTGACATTTATTGAAGAATGATTAGTACTTCAAATGCAATTCAATGAACTGAAGGAAAAAGTACAAAAATTAAAAGAGATCAGAGGCAAAGATTACATAGTTAGATTCACAGACTAGAAATATGAAATAAAATAAAAAGCTTTAAGCGGCTTGCTTTGCCAGTTTAGTTTTGTACTTCTTTTTTACATGTGAAACAAAATCCTTCCTCAAATTTTCCATTAAATACAAAAATATTTTGTATTCATAATCTTGTGTTAAAATTTATTCAAACATTTCCTCTTCTGCTGGAAAATATTCTTATTAAAAATTCTGATTTATTTTAGCATAATATATTCAATCTAATTACTTCAGGTATTTTTCATTTAATAAACAATATTTATGCATCTGAAAAATCAGTCAAGTACACTAAAATGCAACTCTGAAAACTTATAAAAAAAAAATTACATCAATAGATTTACTTTTCAGATGTTTTAAATTCAGTTCATAAAATTTTGAAATGTTTTTCTTAATCTAAGCATCTCTCAAATCTTATGAAATGCCATAAATAATAATATAAATATTTAGATTTAAAAATTCAATTTCTTTGAGGAATTTATTATGTGTTACTAACTTCACAAATATATTTTTGCATATGATTGCTGATATCGGTTCAATTTTTTTAATAGAGCTCACAAAAGTTTCTGATTAATTGTTATGCAGTATTCCTAAACTAAACCTAAATGTTGATCCAGTACTGATTTACTTTTTAACATCATAAACTGTTATAATCAGAATTTTAGATAAAACAATATAATTAATTTTAAAGAAATATTTTGTCAAGTAATAAATTAAAATGAAAAAATATTTTTAAATTATACCTTTTTAAACTACTAATAATTAGAAATGTGCATAATATTAGTGATTATGCCAATTGCTGAATTTTTGAGAAATAAATGATAAATTTGCCTTGCTGCCATTTCATTTATGGCTTCAGAAATTTTGTTCAGATCTAATGGAATGCAACTACATAGAATTAAGAATTCCTGAATATAATCTAGAAATCAAATATAACTACAGTGACAGTCATCACAGAAAATATTAAAAATGATCTTCATACTACATATGATAATTGCTTATAAAAAAGCATGGACACTTGAATTTTTTAAAATGCATGTATCAATCAAAGAGGAAAAAGTTAAGTACATGTGTGCTCACTGCACATGCTAAATTTATCTAGATTTTGTTTATCAAAATACTTTTGTTTGTAGAAATTTCTTCTGCTCTATACTGAACAAATTATAAAAAATGTGTAGTTACAAAATAACAATTTAGGAACTGAATTTTCCCCTTTCCTTGATGAATATTAACTTTTCCATGGAAAAAGTCAAAAAATATTTAATTAGATGTTTTTTTTAATGTTTAACTGATATGGGATTGAGATATGCTTTTTAGATGAATATGCAGTTTCTTTAAATGATGGATAAAATTTACTATTCAAGTCACATTTCATTTTTTAAAATCTTTTTCTTAAGAGAAGGAAAAAGACTAAACCTGTAATTGTAATGCTGTCTTAAAAACAGGATATAAGTACTATGCTTATTTATGCTTTCAGTACTGCTTGCCATATATATCTTAACCATGTGCAAATGAACACACTAAATTAAAATCCTGCATTTTCCCAATATAATTATTTTGATGAAGAACTTTCAATGATAAAAATAATCCTACATGTTGAGATATGATAATTTTATAATATAAAATCAACTATGATTTAAAGGAACAATTTTAAAATATATTCATCTACATCTACCCATCATCAGGCTTTTGTGAAAAGGTTTTACAAGAATCCAATTTCACATTCTGCCAATGATAATGCAAAATGTTTCATCTTGTTGATGTTAAAGAAGAAAAATAATTATTACTCCAGGATTTCCTTCATTGGTAAACTGGATGGCACTTTAAAGTTAAAAATATAAAATAAAGCACATGCTAAAAAATTACTACTCAGTTTTGAGTATACAAATTATCAGTTTATACAGAACTAATTCTATTCATTGTCATTGATCCTCATATGTATTAATCCCATCCATTCTTTAAAAATAAAGCTTTTGCATATATGAAAATGAGTTACGTCCTAACAGGAAAACATATATACATGTCAAGACCTCCTCAAAATCAAAAACAGAAAACCAACACAATGCATGCTATTTTTTTTTTTTTTTTTTTTTTTTTTTCATAATGCCAACTAAGCATTTGATATACATAAGATGAAACTTCTGCTCCAGTACTACCAGAAAACTTAACCAATCTGCAGTATGAGTAGTAAGAGTAGTAGTAATAATATTGATGCACAGCCAGTTGCACAATACAGCAACCCGAAAAGCACATCTTATTTAAAAAGGACGCACAAAATATGCAGTGCCTTATTAAAAGTGCTACATTATTCGTCACCTCTCAGCAGCTTTACCCCTTTCGTGGTTTGGACGCATGTTGAGATGTTAATGCAGCATTTCTTTCTTCAGAAAGAGGGCTTTATTAAATAGCCAGTGAATGCCACTATTAATGACTGAAAGAATATGCATTTTCTTTTCTCCATCAAAAGATTCTCCACAGACTTCACTGTGTTGCACCATCTCGCCTTTGTTTTTGCTGTTCCAGCAGCCTCTCCAGGGGCGATGGTCCGGGTCCAGACCACAAAGACTGCAAAGAGAATTAGATGCAGAATTATACACAAAATTGATTTTTAATGAATTACAGCTAGAGGATGCAATATAGTTTTAAAAAAGATGAAAAAAAAACCCACAAAAACCTTTTTTAAGCTACTCAAAGTACTAGAAATATTAGAAAACTGAAAATTCTTACCTGCCCCCTATTGTTTTTTAAACAATAATAAATAAAGTTATCTTAGACAGTAAGCATGAATTTAAAAATTTTAATAAAAGTAAATTTTTTAATCTTGAGCAAAAACTATGAAATTTATTTATTTATTGACCTAAAGAAGAAATATTTAACAAGTGAGAGGTCATTCAATGAGTTTATATCCATAATTTACATCATATTATTGCATTCTACAAGTTTGTGGATTTGGAGTAATTGACGATAACACTCAATGACGAATCAAAACACAATTCATTCTCCAGTGTTACTCAGAAGAGTTCTAAAAACATGTTTACAGCCATCAGAAAACTACAATAAACATGCTGAAAAAATGGACAACACGGCCTTCAGGCTACAATGTTGAAGACAGCTTCACGGCAAAGCACTAGCTCCTAACTCGGTTCAGTTGCTTGCTGAAGTCAAAACACTACTACGGAACTCAACATACACTACTACTCTGCGTACAAGCAGGGTATATATAGCTTTAACCTACCTTCAAGAACAATCCTGAGAAAACTCTCTAAGAATACCTTTTTGCAACAATATTTTATGTACTGCACTATTAAAAGGAGATGTATTATTATTTTTTAATGTTCACATGTTACTGCATTCCTATTACAGACATTTTAAATCTCATATGAATCCACAAATCTTCATTAACAAATGCATCAACATAAGAGGGGTGTTTTTAAAGTAGGGGCCATTTAAAAATAAAAACCAAATATATTTTCAGATCTTACATACATTTCTCTATTTTTCAACATAGTCGTCAAGTTCGTTTAAACACTTATCATACCTTAGAAGTAGATTTTGAATACCATCTTTATAGAAACTTGCCATCTGCTCTAATAACCAAGAGGTCACGGCCGTTTTCATGTCTTCGTCATCCTTGTAGTGGTTGTCACCAAGATGATGTTTGAGATAGCGAAAAAGATGAAAATTGCTCATTGCAAGTTCTGGGCTGTATGGAAGGAGGGTCCAAAACTTTCCAGCCAAGAGAGTCCAATAAAACTTGGTGCGAGCCCTTGCATTGTCGGAGTAGCAAAATTCTCTCTGTCAGCATGCAGTGTTTTTTGTTTGGAATCGCTTTGCGTAGCTTTCGCAGGGTTTGGCCGTCTGTAGGGTTTGCCATGCCTATCCCATAACATGAAAAGTATGATCTTGCTCTGAGACAGAGTCTGTTTGGCCTTGACTATTATAGGAGAGTGTGTGTCTCCACTCCATGCCCTTTTGCTTCCAATCGGGCATGACATGTTTTGTCTCCCGTTACGATCCGACTCAACATAGCATCACCTTCTTCGTTATAATAAGTCAAAAATTCAGTGAGTGAACATTCAAAAATCTTTTGGTTTTGTGGTCCTCTATTAGGAGTTTAGGGATTCAATGGAAGCACAGTTTCTTAAACCTTAACTTTTCAGAAACAATCTTGTACAGCACTGATCTAGACACTTCAAGAAATTCATTTGAAAGCGTGGTTACGGGTGAAGAATTTTTGCTTCAACTAAAACCATCATATCGTCTGTGATCACAGATGGCCGACCAAAGAGGGACTCATCATAGATGTTGTCACGGCCAGCTTTGAAGTCTCTGACCCACTTATGCACTTTGCCTTCACTCATGGCACTTCAGTAGCCCCGTAAATTTTACAAATCTGCCAGTGAATGTCTGTAGCAGACAGGTTTCTTGCCGACAAAAACTATCACTGACTGTACTTCGCTCAAGGCAGGCGATTCCATAATTTTGAACATTTCAAAGACACAGAATAGACCAGCAGTTCTCAACCTTTTGACTAACGCATACCATCTAAACAAAAATTGAAAACCTGTAATGCCACCATTACAAAGTACTACTACCACCACCCTTCTTGAACAAAGCTCAGACTGCATAAATTTACGATTGTTAGAGAAAAAACTCAATCAGGATGTTGGGGTTTTAATTTTTAATTTGATAGTTGAAAATACTCTGCCTCTTTGCATAATACCTATTTTTCTCTTGCGTACCACTGGTTAAGAACCCTTGGAATAGACCATATAAGTTACCTACACAGCTGCAACTGAGCACAGTTGTTTCCAAGGGTTACTGGGACATGACACAAGCACTTGTGGTGTGTGCGCCACGTATTAGTGTGTACAATAAAATGACCCTTACTTAAAAAACACACTGTATATTTTACTATACATTAACATATTTACTTTATTTGTGTGATTGTGAAATACACTGAGAGCAGAATTACATGTATTCCTTCCTTCATGGATTAATATACATTCATGACAGACAATAACTGGAAAATGTAAGTGGAATCTTGAAATGTTTCTCTTTTATTACATTTACAAAATACTTCGACAGATAATGTGGTATTTTTACACTAGTTTATCAAAAATTATACTATACAAGATTTTTTTTTTTAATTTCATCAAAATTTTAATAAAAAAATTACTGTGAATTAATTATTCTCTTTATATTTGTACATAAAAAACACTAGTATTTTTATATGGAATTAAAATTCCCTATGAAAAATTGGAAAAAGAAGCTATTGATTTTTCTGGTTTAAATATTTACACAAATGCAAACAGCAATATTTGTTATATAAAATTACCTGTATTCTAGACTGCATAAAAACAGGATCTATGTTGTTATGTTGACCTGCTTGAATTAAAAAATAGCATATTAGAAATGTAAAGAATAAGTATCTATATATATTCATATACTAGAAAAAATTTGATTAATATATATATAACATGATATTTAGACTAAACTGACAACTTTTAAATAAGTGAATATGTTGCATTCAAAAATTTCTCATATTAAACACATAAGAAGAACTTGCTTAATTTGAATTTGGCAATTAATCTTCCAACATTTAACACAGTTCTAACACATTTTAGAATGCTGTTTTCTAGTTTTTCTTACAACACCTAAATTTTCTCTAAATCTCATCTATAGCATAAAAGTGCTGACTCTATGCTGACATCTGTAGTATAAAAGTTGAATTTGAATTTAAACAGGAGAAAGGCCATATGGAGGAAAATCTTAAAGCAAGAAGCAATTTAACATATCTTGCATGGGAAATGGCTAAATTAGTTTTGTGCAGATTGGTAATCGAATGCAGGAAATGATTAAAGTTGTTTTGTGTGAAGCGGTAATCGAGTGTGGGAAACGACTAAAATTCTATTGTGTGAACTGGTAATCGAGTGCAGGCAACAACAAAAGTCAATTTCTATGAATTATTGGTAGATTACTGTTACTGATAGCCTTTTGTAATGCTTTTACAATAAGGTCGGGTCACATGAGCACTAGGTTCATGACTGTACATTTCAATGTTAAAACATGCATTGCAAAAATGCATTTCTATGAATACACTTTGCTCATGTTATTATGCTATGATGAATGTAGCATCTGACACAAGCTTCAAGCTATGCATTGAAATATGGGAAGTTGAGCAGCAGGTGCACTCTATACAACCAGCAATTTTGCCAAGCATACTCGTACGTTGTCCACAAGTATCTCTGCATAATTGAACTTCATCGTTAGGGGCATCGATTTGATGCTCGTGTGTCCCCAGCCTTATTTGAACTTTTTTATACAGTAAATTCCTAAGGATGGAAAATAATAAAATGGAATGTTTTGATGAAGAATTGTGCACAGATCTATCAAAATTGCATCTGTGCAATACTTGTCATAACTACATGTAGAAAATAAATTCTTCAGCTATCTCTTCTAATTTAAAAGTTTTTGAAAATGCAATTCTAAAATTATGTAATCAAATTAAAAAAAAACGTAGAACTTTTTTTTAATAAAAAAATATTGCTAGTTTTGCACTTATTTATAGAAGCTTCCCATGTCTTGATGGATATTTTTGTCAAATTATTCTGATGTATCGCATTCCGTTGCAATCTATTACTGTTCTTAATCTTTTTTTAAATTATAATTTAATGTACTGCCATATCAAATAGAAAAGAAATATGCCAGTTTGAAATTTAAAATAGAATTGAAGAAAAAAAAAAAAGAAGAAGAAGAAGAAGAAGAACTTTGAAGTTAATCAGACAGTTTCCCACCTTCAAGAGCAAGGTGAGCATGAATCTAGCAAAATCTATCAAGAAAAATAATACTGAAATGTGAAAAGCTAAGAGATTAGAATTCTGCAAGCATTTCAAAGGACTGGGTCTTAATTAATGTGATTAACTAGAAGGATAACTCTCTGTGAATACAAAAAAACTTGGAAATTCTATTCATCAACAGATTAAGCTTTATGGATAATATTTGCAGAAACAAAGTCAAAATTATGATCAAGCATGTAATAATGATTAGCTATCAAAGATTTTTTTACCTCTCCTTTTTGAACATAAGATTTGGTCTCCTTGATGTGAAATACTAATGCTTAAGAAACGTAAACCTTATGTTCAACATGTAGAATTAAATAAATCTTGATAGCTACTAGCTACTTGATAGCTACATTGTTTACATTACCACTGGCTTACCATCAAAAAGATCAAATGACATTGATTCCGATCCAGCCCTTTGTAATGCTTTTAGAACTGCCTTAGTTAGTTAGTTCTTCATAGTTCATTACTATTTTCCTTGATATAGAATAGTATAGTACAAAGTCCGAAATACGGACTTGTCGGGACTTCAGCGATTCCAGATTTGGGATTTTTCCGAATATTAGATCATCAGTTAAAAACTTCCAAGATGGTATGTAGAAATTACAAAATAAAAATATGAACTGGTGATTTATGAAATAATGAAGCATTTATGATCTAAAGAAGTGGTGCCCAACCTTGTGCTCGCCAGCCCGATAAGGTACTATGAACAAAAAATATTTAAAAAATTACCATTCATTTATATTTCTTAATTGTTAAAACATGGTAAGCATTTATAGTCATAAGAGATACCTTGCAAGATTTATAAAATAATTAATTGCTGACTGATGAACTCCGATAGCGAACATGGACTCTTATTGCTTCATTCCGATGTTAGATAGCTTCTACAGGGAAAAAGTACTTCAACGATTTGTAGAACTTCTTTTGCCAATAAAGCAGTTTTTGGAACCCGGAAATGAAGGTTATAAAGAATTGGACGATAATAATTGGTTTTCCAATGTGTATTTTCTCACGGATATAACAGCTAAACTGAACAAACTGAACGATGATCTCCAGAGAAAAGAAAAAAAACCCTTTTTCAATTGACTGGGACTGTAACTGCTTTTCAGATAAAATTAAATTTGTGGATAAATCAGATGAAAGAAAAAAATTTCACCCACTTTCAGAATTTATCAAGGCATATTGTTACGTTATTTTCTTCCTACACGTTCGTATGGGGTTCGTATGAATTTGGAGTGAATAACGACGACATTTGATGAAGTACCGAAACACACCTTATTGGCCAGTATTGTCAGGACAGCTCCAAAACATGTTTTACAGTTGTCAATGAACTACTATAAACACGCTGACACTGTCAGCGACACAGCCTTCAGGTTATCAGGCTATCACAGAGACAGCTTCACGGCAAAGCACTAGAGCACAGCTCCTGACTCTGCTTGGTTGTTCTCGGAACTCCACGTATTCTCGAGACTCTCCATGCTGCAACTCGCGGTGCACTCGATGACACACAGAGCACAGCTCCTGACTCTTCGGTTCATTCGTTCCTGGAGCTCAACACGCTCTCTCGACAATGCACTAACCGCGATACACTATAAGACTCTTTCGGTGCACTCGACGACCCACTTGGCACTCGCTGCCCAGCTGCCAACTTGATCAACTCTGCAGGGATTGACTTGCTAGGCAAGACACCAACTTGATACTAACTAATTTGCACTCTGACGAGGCACACTCTTTATCAGCACACTAGCCAAGACACTCACTCTCGCACTCTATGCGAGGCACACACACTGACAGCAGACCAGCAGGCTTTATATAGCTTTCGGCTTGTGTCGGAGGACATTCTGGGTTAAATCGGTAAAAATTTGTTCCAGAAGGTTCTCTATCCGTCCATGGCACATTGCCAATTTTGCCGCCAAATGGACGATTTCTCATCAAATGTGGCAACCCTGCCTTCCCTGACATTTTATGGCAACCCTAAAACTGCTTTGCAGGGAAGCTATCTCACCGCGCCTGTACATTTTGTAACAATATTAATAACCACAAGGCAACTGAAAAAGAGAAATACTCGGAAAACCTAAATGCACAGAAAAATAATTTTGAACTCCACTTCTCTGATTTCCATAAAGTTCAACCAATATTATTATTTATCTCAAACCCATTTGCTGAAATTAATATTTCAGATGTATCACATACGATTGGAAATATGTTTACCGAAAATGCTGACGTTTTGGAAATGTGCTCGCGATAGACCAAAGTTTGGGCAACACTGATCTTGGTAACAAAATTTACAAAAAATAGCCTTAATATTTATTTGTTTATGTTATTAACCCTTTGCGGCACAGACTGTCCGGTCTGGACACACCTAAAAATTTCCTTCTGTACACACAGAAAAATTGAATGAAAAAGGATTTATAGGTTACTATAGGTTACCTCTAAACCTTCTTTATTTATAGTAGATGGCAGCTCAACATAAACCAGTCCATATATTTTAGCCATGTTTAGTTTTTTAAGACCCTCATTTTTCAAAGAAATCTTCCAGATTATTTTTAGGGTAAAAAAGGAATTGTTTGAAAAGAAATTTATGTTATTTTTTTTTACTATATGCTAATCTCCTTATTGTACATTAGTTTTAAATTTTTAAATTGAAATCTTGCCTAAAATCAAACGGCGAACCCTAGGTGTGCCCAGACAGGGATCCAATAATCTAGGACAACTGAGAGTCTGTTATTCTTTGTTTCTCCATATTTTCAATCGGGTCATTCATTGACAACAATGCTCGTTTCAGCACTCTTTTGAAGCTCTATTCATCAGCATGCCCACTTTGGGCCCAACCCACAGAATTAAAAGATAAAGTGCTATCTTCACAAAATTTTACTTGTGTACTCCTCTAGGCTAATTAGATTGCCTATATATATTAATATATATATATATTATAATAATAAAAGCAAGTGTAAGTCTGTCTGTCTGTCTGTCTGACCGAGCTCTCCAGCCAAATCTATGGCACGCAGGGACCTGGGCATTTTTATACGGAAGCACAAAGGGGCTGGCCACCAGACCTCGAAGCCCGATTTTCGATTTTTGAATTAGAAAATTTAAAAAAATTATTTATAATTAATTAATCACGTTTTTTTTGACTCACTGATATTATTATTTGTTTTCAAATAACGTTCGATTGTAACAATTGATTTCTTTATTCTAGCGTTAGTTTGCTGTTTTGACGACACATTAAATCGATTTAATTACAATTCATTTCTTTTTGTAGCTTTAGTTTGCTGTTTTCATGACACATTAATTTCTTTTTTTTTTTTTCAGAATTGCACTTTATAAACTTTTTGTTTTTCTTAATTAATATTATCATGGTTTTTTGACTCACTGATCGGTGTTGCTATTATTTATTTTCAAATAACGTTCGATTATAACAATTGATTTCTTTATTGTAGCGTTTTCTTCAGTTTTTGTAATCATTCTTCTGTTGGTTGCTTAACTTTTGCTTTTCAGATTTTAGAAGAAATATGCCGCAGGCCACCTCGAAAAAAAGAATGTTTG